CCTGCTACAGACGGACTAACATGGCTACCCGTCTTGAAGAAGTGAGCAGGGGCTCACGCAAGCTGCTCCCCGGCCACGAGTTTTGTTAGTCTTTAAGGTGCCACTGGACTCTTGCTCATTTCAACTGATACAGACAGACTAACACGGCTACCCATCTTGAAGAAGTGAGCAGTGACTCACACAAGCTCCTCCCCTGCCATGAGTTTTGTTAGTCTTTTAAGGTGCCACTGGAGTCCTGCTCTTTTCTCCTGCTACAGACAGACTAACACGGCTACCTGTCTCGAAGAAGTGAGCAGTGACTCACGCAAGCTGCTCCCCTGCCACAAGTTTTGTCAGTCTTTAAGGTGCCACTGGACTCTTGCTCTTTTCTACAGCTACAGACAGGTTAACATGGCTTCCCATCTTGACCCATCTCCCTACTCACGTTATCCGTGAAGATCACTCCGAATTTCCAGATCTTGTACTTGATGTCGATGGAGGTGATCCTGAGGAAGAGAGGGGAGAGGGATGAGGAGGAAGCCAGGATTGTGAGCATCTACGTTCAGGGGTACAAGTTAGGTGTGCTTCTAAAGCTGTTTGGAGCATCCCTGACCTGGGAAGCCCAGGCTACCCCGATCTAGTCGGATCTCAGAAGCTAAGCAGGGCCGACCTTGGCAGGTACTTGGATGGGAGACCTCCAAGGATTACCAGGGCTGGGAGGAAGAGGCAGGAAATAGTAAGCCACCTGAGATGTTCAAGCCCCTCTAGGGGTCGCCAGAAGCCAACTCCGAGTTCCAGGAACACACACACACACACTCACACAAGATTTTTTTTAAAAAAACCCTAAAAACAAAGAATGCAACATCCAGTTGTCGGAAGAATCATGGCAACTTATTTGGTCTTCTCCTCCTTTCAAAACCAAAATTACCTCCATGAAATTACAGTCTTTTAAAATTCTAGCTCACTGGTATCTTACTCCCAATAAATTGGCCCATATCTCTCAAGCATATAATCCCAATTGCCACAATCTTTCCAGCAAAACCCCCCTAAAGATGTCTAAAGCCGTCAAAATGTGTGACTAAGAAGCAGGGGCGAAGCTGAGCTTGCAAGCAAATGCGTTGGGCACGTATGCTCTCCGCGGCACCCCGTGTCAGGGCCAGGTTTGCATCGGAGCGACATGTGAAAAGGCCAAAATCAGAGACAGATGAAACGTCGTTGGTGGGAGACGCCGCGAAGTCGCCGTCAACTCACGGTGACCGTGTAAGGTTTTCGCGGCAAGAGATGCACAGAACTGGTTTGTCCGTTGCCTGCCTCTGAGATCTGATGAGAGCAGGCTAGCTTGGGTCACCCAGGTCGAGGCGAGAGACATTCCGAGGTGGCTGGCCGTGGCCTGCCTCTGCGTAGCAACCCTGGGCTTCCCTGGTGGTCTCCCATCCAAGTACTGACCGGGGCCGACCCTGCTCAGCTTCTGAGATCAGTCTAGCCTGAGCCATCCAGGTCAGGGCAAAGGACGTTCAGTGGTCCTCTGCCGTGGCCTGCCTCAGCTCAGCAGCCCTGGTCTTCCTTGGTGGGCTCCCATCCAGGTACTCACCACGGCCAATGTTCCCTCTAAGCCGTGGAGTTCTTGTGAGCAAAAATTCTACTTTGTGAGCTACTGGCATTAAAGTTGTGAGCAAGTAATTTGGCCACTGTATAAATCAGCTAAGACAAAAACTGAGCTAAGGCAAAAATGTGTGAGCTAGAGGCTAAAAAACTGTGAGCTAGCTCACACTAACTCAGCTTAGAGGGAACACTGACCACGGCCCATCCCGCCTCACTTGCGAGACTGGGACAGACGAGACCATCCAGGCCAAGGCGGCAAAACATTTAACGCCTGCAGTAAGGCACCTGTTTTTGAAGCGGACCCTTTACCTGCTCCATTCCCGCCAGCGACGTGACTGTGCTCGACAGCGACAGGACCGGCGCCCGCCTGAGCGATGCCGGCCATCCCATACTCACACACACACACACACCTCCCCCCTGCCCCGCCTCACCAAGTGAGAAGAGACTTGTCTGGCTCCTGCTTCTTCTCGTTCTGCGCTGTGATCTCCAGACTGGCCAAATCCATCCCCAGGAGTTCCGCAATTCTCTCCCTCCCGTAGATGTCGCCGTATTTGTCCAGCACCTGGCGGGAGAGAGAGGGGAAGCCCGGTTTTGTCCCCGGCAGCCAGCCTGACCCTTGACCTTGGGTCTTGCTCGTCAGTTCCGGCCGGGCCGAGGAAGCCCCGTGTTCTCACCACCACCCACCGCCTCCACCCTAGACAATGGCGAAGCATCTCACCTTCCTCTTGATGAATTTATCCCAATAATTGCTCGGAAACGACCTGGGATAGAAGAGAGAGTCGGATAAGAACGGAGGGTCTCCCCTTCCTGCCTCGATGCCTGCCAGGGCTCTGTGCCTATAGCCATTTCACAGAATCATAGAATCATAGAGTTGAAAGGGGCCGTAGAGGCCATCTAGTCCAGCCCCTGCTTAGTGCAGGATCAAGCCTAGAGCATCCCTGACAAGGGTTTGTCCAGCCGCTAAAGACGGCCGGTGAGGGGGAGGCTCACCGCCTTCCTCGGCAGCCGATTCCACTGTGGCACAACTCTCACTGTCAAAAAGATTCTTCTAAAACGCAGTTGGTACCTCCCCGCGCTTAATTTCAACCCATTCTCGCGAGTCCTCTCCTCTGCGGCCCACAGGAACAGCTCCGCGCCCTGTTCTAAGTGACGGCCCTTCGAATACCCTTCAAAGAGGGCAATCCTGTCCCCCCTCGACCTCCTCTTCGCCAGACTGAACATTCCCAGGTCCCCCCTCAGCCTTTTCTCACAGGGCCTCTTGGTCTCCAGGCCCCCCCCCGATCACCCTCGTCGCTCTCCTCCGCACCCGCTCCATTCTGTCCATCTAGTCCAACCCCCTGCCCAATGCATCCCTGACAAGGGTTCGTCCAGCCGCTGCATCAAGACGGCCAGGAAAGGGGAGGCTCACCACCTCCCTCGGCAGCCGATCCCCCTGTGGCACAACTCTGACTGTAAAGAAGTTTCTCCTAAGATCCAGCCAGTACCTCCCCGCCCTTCATTTAAACCCATTCTTGCGAGTCCTGTCCTCAGCTGCCCACAGGAACAGCTCCCGGCCCTCCTCTCAGGGACAGCCCATCAAAGACTTCGAAAGAGCCATCATGTCCCCCCCCCCCAACCTCGCAAGTCCCTCAACCTTTCCTCTTCATCTGTACCCTCCTCTCTCCCCAAGGGGGACCCAAAGTGGTTTACATATTTCTCCTTTTCTTTGTTTTATTCTCATAGAATCCTAGAATCACAGAGTTGGAAGGGGTCCTAGAGGCCATCTAGTCCAACCCCCCTGCTCAATGCAGGATCGGCCTAGAGCATCCCCGACAAGGTTTTGTCCAGCCGCTGCTTAAAGACTGCTGGTGAGCGGGGGGGGCCCCTCACCACTGCCCTAGGCAGCCGGTTCCACCGCGGCACAACTCTGACGGTCACTCTTACGGCCGCCCCTCCTTCCACAAAGCCCCACCTGGCTCCAAACTCATCTCATCTTCAGCTGCCACCCCAGAACTTCTTCCTCTCTCGCCGTCAGGTCTGTCCCGTGTCACGGCCCTCTGACCGGCTCAGTTCAGCTAGCCCAACGTTATCCCGTTTCCTAGGCTAGGGGCTTCCGGGAAGTTCCGAGGGGACCGTGGAGGTGATGTTGCTCCCCCTAGTGGCCGTTGTGCATAGGTACATAATCAGATAGGATGCTGATCTCAGTGAATTTTCAGGCTCAAATATGCCGCTAAGCTTCTAATGGATCCCGGGCTTCCTATCTGAATGTAGTATTCCTTATGACTTGTTGTCAAGCACTTTATGAAACAGAGAACTTTTGTACTACTCTAATATCTCCCGAGGAAGATCCAGTTTTGAAACGCTGTTATATAATCCGGAGACGACGTTGATTATGTACCTATGCTCAAGGATTTTCTTATGATTTATTAATGATGTTGTAGTGCTTTAGATTGTAATACGCAGCAAGCTTTTTCTTTGCAAGACTTGGTGACTGCTTGACCTGGTGTTTTTGGGCCACTGTGTGACACAGAGTGTTGGACTGGATGGGCCATTGGCCTGATCCAACATTGGTTCCTCTTATGTTCTTATAAGGGGTATGTTTGGAGGGGTCTGCCCCAGGGGTCGTTTCGTAGAAAAAGAGCTAGGGGAACTCATTAGCATAACTCATTAGCATATGCCACACCCCCTGACATCAGGGGCCCGGCGGTGGACCTGCAAGGCCGGCAGGAGTGCGAGGAAGCCCCGCCAAGGCCCTCCCTGGCCCCAGGCAGGCAGGGGTGGGGAGAGGCGAGGAGGAAGCAACTTACCCTCCCTCTTCTCCTGCCTCCTCCTAGCTGAATGAGGGCCGGAAGCAGGGGGCGGGGCTTCATCGTGTGCCCCGCCCCCCGCACCTCACCCAGGGGAACTGTGATCCCCCACGATCCCCCCCCGAATCGACCTCTGGTCTGCCCAGTGTCTATGATCTAGCCGCATTGCATTATGGGCAACTCTTTTTTTAAAAGCTCCTGGAGGCGGGACCATGGCTGGAAGGGGGAGGGGCCGGCTCTTAGCCCCTCCCCATCCTGGAGGAGGACTCACGGCGCGTTGAGCACCAGCCGGTCCCACTGGCCCTTGATGTCGTCGTCCTCCGGCTGCTCCGTGATGTAGAGGCCGTCGAACTCCAGCTTCCGGCACAGCTCCTTCTCCCGCTTGAAGATGACCAGCGGCACCTTGAGGCAATTGTAGCCGATGATGCACAGGAAGGAGACCAGCGTGTGGACGATGGACAGGAACTGGAGGGCTGGCTGCATGTAGCCCGTGCTCTCCCCCCCGAAGAAGTAGACCACACTGTCCTCGTCGTCTTCGTCCCCGTTGCCGTTGCCGTCTCCGCTGTCGTCGTCCCCGCCGAAGCCGGAGCCGGAGCCCGCGCCCGCATCTAGATCCCCTTCGAACCCGGAACCCTCAAACTCCTCCTCACCAGGGGGGGTGTCTGACACCTGGGGAGTGGGAATAGAAGAGGAGGAGGAGGAGGAGGAGGAGAAGAGATTGGATTAATACCCCGCCCTTCACTCGGAGTCTCAGAGCGGCCTACAATCTCTTTTCCCTTCCCCTCCCCACAACAGACACCGTGTGAGGTAGGCGGGGCTGAGAGCTCTTTTGAGGACTGCTCTTGGGAGAGAACAGCTCCGAGAGAACTTGCGACTGACCCAAGGTCACGCCAGCAGCTGACGCGAGCAGCTGCATGTGGAGGAGTGGGGAATCAAACCTGGTTCTCCCAGATTAGAGTCCGCGCTCCTGACCACTACACCAAACTGGCTCCCGACAGCCAAGGGAGAGGGGCCCAGGTTGGAACACAAGCCACCCCAATGCTCGGCAAGAGCTGGTTCTCGGCCTGATCATTTTGCTCTGGCTGCTGGTGCAAGTTCCCAGCTGTCCTTGGCCCTTTGCTCTAACTGCTTGGCCTGAGGCTTTTGGGACGCCGGCTTATTGTCCCTGGGCCTCTCCCGGGCCTCTGAAATGCCCTCAACCCCTCTCACCCACACCCAAATTGTGAGAAGACCCGGACTCCGGGGCCTCCCCTTCTGTTTCTCGTTCTCCTATCAAGTTCAGAGAGGGAAATCTAGTATCCCTGAGGTTATGGTTGCCAGCTCTGGATTGGGGATTTGGGGGGGGGCTGGAGACTGGGGAGGGGGGGGTTTGCTAACCAGCTGGGCAGAAGAAAAAGAAAAAGAAGAAGAGATTGGATTTATACCCCACCCTTCACTACCCAAAGGTGTCTCAGAGCGGCTTACAAACTCCTTTTCCTTCCCCTCCCCACAACAGACACACCCTGTGAGGTAAAAGAAGAAGAAGAGATTGGATTTATACCCTGCCCTTCACTACCTGAAGGAGTCTCAGAGCGGCTTACAAACTCCTTCCCCTTCCCCTCCCCACAACAGACACCCTGTGAGGTAAAAGAAGAAGAGATTGGATTTATACCCCGCCCTTCACTACCCAAAGGAGTCTCAGAGCGGCTTACAAACTCCTTTCCCTTCCCCTCCCCACATCAGACACCCTGTGAGGTAGGTGGGGCTGAGAGAGCTCTGACAGCTTATAATACTAGAAAATAAAAAAAATGTATATTCATGTAATTGCAAACTCTATATAATCAATCAATGGTGGAAAAATAAGACAGATTTAATTACTGTATGAAGTGCTCTAATAGAGAAAAGACCAATATGAACTACTGTAGCCCGAATATATGTTTGTTTGTTTTGGAAAAATAAAAAAATGTTATAAAAAAAAACAATATCCAAGGACCACAGTGTAAATGATTAGACTAGGTAACTAAAGCACCGTGTATAATGCTATTTATGTACTATGTTTATGAGATATAATCACAATAAACAATAGACTTCCAAAATTAAGACAGTTTGTTATTTACATGCCATAATGCACCATTAACAATGTATATATTCTAATAATACAAAGAGCTTCAAAGAATGCTGAGACGAACGGAAACTTGAACAACTACAGAGACTGGGAAAATGCCGTTTCACAAATTCTTCCTCATGTCTTACAGCAACAGACGTCTTAACTTTAATAGTAATAATACTATTCATGTTTTGCCAAGCTTCAGCTTATTTCAGCATCCTCTGAGTTTCTGTACAAGATTTAAGAAACACAACTACTTTAAGTTTGTATTTGAATAATTTCTTTTTTGTACACTCTGTCTGAATGATGAGTTTTGCTGCTGGGGCATTGTATTATTAGAATATACACAGGCTGAGTTCAGACTGGCCGTTTGGCCTGATATAGGCATGTGTCAGAAACGTTTCACAAACGGATTAAAGGGGCCGTTCACACAAGCACATCTGTCAGGCGTTCCCCAGCTGTACTCAGCCTGTCTTGTACCGCTTCACTCCTGAGCTTAAAAAGTACCGGTGAAAGTGGTAGCAAACCCTTCCATCCTGCGTCCATCCCGCAGCAACAAAGTGTGAACGCCGAAAGCCGCAATTGCTTATCCACATACGCGCATAAACGCATATCTCTGGATTACCAAAAAGAAAGCTGCGCCTCTGCCAGGGGGGCGGGCCAACAGTGCAAACGCTCCCGTGCGCCTCCTCCCCGGTATACTCCCGCATCGGTCGATGCAGTGTGACCGGGAATACCCGGAACACGTTGTTCCGGGTCTTTTTTGCCACGACTCCCTCGCGCTTCAAATTGCCAGTCTGACCTCAGCCACATTGTTAATGGTGCATTATTTCATGTAAATAACAAGCTCTCTTAATTTTGGAAGTCTTAAGTATTCTTTATTGTGATTTCCCCCCCCAGGGCTTTTTTGGGGGGGAGGGGAGGGGAAGAGGTGCCGGAACTCTCAAGAGGGAAATGAAGTTTTCAATCTGCGTACCGGAAACTCATTAACTTTTGAACATTTTTAAAAGAGTTTTGTTGAAGAGGTTCCAGAACTCCCTTCCAAAATGCTCCCTCAGGGAAAAAAAGAAGAAGCCCCGCTTGATACTTACGGGCATTTGTTTTAACTCCTTTACAACCAGGGGTCATTTCGTAGAAAAAGAGGTGCAGGAGCTCATTAGCATAACTTATTTGCACATGTCACGCCCCCTGACATCACCAGAAGTGTGTCAGAAGGCAACACCCACCGCTCAGGCTCAACAGGACTGTTTTGGACTGCTAGCTATTGGGGGGGGGATGTACAGATCTGTCCTCGCAGAGGAGGGAGAGCTTGTACCTGAATAAAACTTGCTCTTAAAGGCTTCTTTGCATGCTACGCCACACACTCCTAATGTAGCCAGTCCTAATGAGTTCCTTCTGCTGGGTGTGGCCTATTATGCTAATGAGTTCCTGCTGGGTGTGGCCAACTTGGGAGCCAACCGGAACTCTGTTCCTGTGCGTTTCTGCCCAAAAATAGCCCTGTGCTTTAGTGACTTGCAACCCGTCCCCAGATCCTGCCCCCCCCCCTGCAATCCACACTACGGGACTCCCCTCAATGGGTCTTCATCAGTCATTATTACCTTGTAGAAGAGTAGGATGAAGTTGAGGGCGAAAGCCAAGAAGAGGGCGAGGAACCGCAGGTTGTAGAAATTCCTGGATAAGTAATTCTGGAAGAAGAGAACGGCAGGATAAGAAGACAGCAAAGCACACTTTTAAAAAAGACGCCCCCCCCCCCCGAATTCTTGTGCCAGCATGACGCAACCTCAGCCTGCACCAAGGAAAGAACAAAAATTCTGCAGCCTTGACACACGTGAATTGTATCTGGGGATTGGCTGCCCACGCTTGATTCTGCTTCAAGCTCTGCCCCCCCCCCACTGCTGAAAACCGTTCCTTGGCCTACAAGACGCCTTAGCGAGTGTCTCTTCACAGCCTCGAGGACTAGAAACAAAACATGGAGATGGCGCAGTCCACTGATCCTGCCCCCGGTACCGGTTTCTGTATTCGCGTGGTATCCCAGAAGTTCTGCAGCCATTGTTAATATCGAAGAAAAGAAACGTCAGAACTGAAACCTACTGGGAAGCCCCGCTCGCGAATCCCAGGTGTGGGAGACTCACAATGGAATGCACTCTGAACATGCTCAGAGGCACGTTCTCCTTAGTTTTAGGGGGGTTTTTTACACCATGTGTTCCGGGAGTGAACAAATGTGTGGGCCTAGGGCTTGCGGGAAGGCCCTCGAATCAAGCCTGCCCAAAATGGGATGACCCAAGGCTACCGACAGATAGCTAGTCATCCGCTGCCATTCCCTTCACCGGGAGGGAGCACAATCCTGTTGGCCTCTACGGGCTGCAAAGTGACCTCGGATTTGTACTTGTTTGCCTGTCAAGGCTAACCACCCCCCACTCCCCCAACTGCACCCATAATAGTGGGAACTGTAGGACTGGCGAGGGTGTGAAGACTTCTATGTTCGAGAGCCCTAGTCTGCCTGCCCTCACAGGACTACAGTTCCCAGAGTTCCTGGGGGAGAGAGAAAGACAGCTAATGCCAGCCCTAGTTTGCCTGCCCTCACGGGACTACAGTTCCCAGAGTTCCTTGGGGAGAGAGAAAGACAGCTAATGCCAGCCCTAGTTTGCCTGCCCTCACGGGACTACAGTTCCCAGAGTTCCTTGGGGAGAGAGAGAGAGAGACAGCTAATGCCAGCCCTAGTTTGCCTGCCCTCACGGGACTACAGTTCCCAGAGTTCCTTGGGGAGAGGGAAAGACGGCTAATGCCAGCCTGTAGTGTGGACACACCTGCTGCGTGGTGAAGCTCGGGTGTGTGTGTGTGTGTGTCCCCCCCCAGTCCCTTCGCACGGCCCCTACCAAGAATTTTATCCTCTGGATCTCCAGCTCATTCCAAAACGCCATGCCTCCTCCGTCCGCGGTCTCCTTCTTCTCCCGCTGGGCCACTTTCTTTTTCTCCTTGGCAGGTGGCTCTGGCTTCTTCTCCTCCTCCTCCTTCTCCTCCTCCTTCTTGGCTTCCTCCTCCTCCTCCTTCTCCTCTTCTTCCTCTTTGGCTTCCTTCTCTCCGTTCTCAGCACTGAGGGAGGGAAGGGGAAAGACCGGCAGGTCAAAGGAGGGCGTGAGGACGGCCCTCTCTGGGTTCAGACCGGCGGTCCATCGGCTCCAGCATCCTGCGACCCACAGAGGCCAGCTAGAGGTCCCCAGAGGTCTACAAGCAGGCCTCCTCCTGTGGCCTCCTGCCCACCCATCCACCCCCGGAGGCAGGGCTTTTTTTTGTAGAAAAGGCCCAGCAGGAACTCATTAGCATAATAGGCCACCGCCAACAGCAGAAACTCATTAGCCTATAGGCCACACCCATGACAGTACAGCTCATTATCATATTAGGCCACACCCCCATGCCTTCCCTTGGCTTGCCTGGGCACCCCGTGGCTGTGGGGAGCCCGGGCAAGCCCCTTCCCTTGGCTTGCCCGGGAAAGCCGGCCCTTGGACAGGCCGGGGAAGGCATTTAAATGCCTCCCCGATCTTTCCAGGCCCTCCCTGGCCCGCCCGCCTCGGAGTCACTGGGGGGGGGGGCCACTCTCCAGGCCTTCCCTCTGTCGCCACGCCCACGCGCAGGTTTTGCTTTTGGCTGTAGTGGGCGTGGTGAACTCTGAAGCCAGCCGGAACTCCGTTCCTGTGCGTTCCTGCCCAAAAATAGCCCTGCCTGGAGGTATTCACAGATGAACGGCATCTGAACATGAAGGTTTCATTTAGCCATCTGGGACAGTAGCCACCGACACTCCCTCTAAGCTGTGGAGCCTTGTGAGCAAAAATTCTACTTGGTGAGCTGCTGGCATGAAAAGCTGTGAGCCGGCGATTCGGCTGCTGCATCAATCAGTTTGCTTTGGAGTAGGCTTGCCAAGTCCCCCCGGGGGGCGGGGAAACCCCTGCCCCAGAGGCCCGTTCCCCACCGCCGGCGGATCAGGCCCCGGGGGGAACTCAACCCCGACGTGCACGTCACCTGGAAGTGACGCAGGCACGCTGGGCACGCTGAGAGCGGGGCCACGGTCATCCGAGGGAAAACTCTATGGTTTTCCCTCAGATGGTCGTGGCCCCGCCCCCGGCGTGCCCGCGTCACTTCCGGGTGACGTGGATGCGGTGCGCGTGCGTGCGCTCCAGCCGCCAGCCGGGAGTTCTCCGCTGCGGCTCAATTTACACTTGGCAACCCTACTTCGGAGCCATCCTTCCTGAGCTAGGACAAATATCTGTGAGCTGGAGGCTAAAGAACGGTGAGCTAGCTCACACTAGCTCAGCTTAGAGGGAACACTGGTAGCCACTGATGGGCACATTCTCCCATCCCCTTTTAAGGCCCCCTTGAAAGCCCGTCTAGGGCTGCCAACCGCCAGGTGGCTCCTGGAGATCTCCCAGTATTACAACTGATCTCCAGATGACAGAGATCAATTTCCCTGGAGAAAACGGTGGCTTTTGAGGGTGGACTTGGTGGCACTGAACATTGCCGAGGTCCCTCCCCAGACCCCATCTTCCCCAGGACCCACCCCCCAAATCTCCAGGTATTTCCCACCCCAGAGTTGGCAACCCTACGGCCATCCCGAAACCCTGTGGCAATGAGTTCCAGAAGCTTCCTTTGTTGAATGAGGAAGTGCTTCCTTCTGTCTGTCCTGAATCGATCGCTAATCTTATTTACCAGGCGCTTCTGAGTTTGAGTATTACCTAGTACAGAGCTCTGTGATACCCCGCTGCTTGCCACCTTCCACTGTGAAAACTGCCCATTTATACTCACTCTCTGTTTCCTGTTAATTAACCGGTTTTTAATCCTGAAGAGGACTTGTCCTCTTATCCCATGACTACCGTGTTTGCTTATGAGCCTTTGATGAAGAACTTTATCAAAAACCTTCTGAAAGTCTAGGTAAACAACATCTACTGGGTCACTCTTGTCCACATGTTTGTTCGCCCACTCAAAGAACTCCAAAAGGTTAGTGAGACAAGATCTTCCCTTACAGAATCTATGCTGATTCTTCTTCAATAGCTTTTGTTCATCAATGTGCCCACTAATTCTGTCCTTAATAATGGATTCCACCAACTTACCCAGTATTGACGTTAAGAACATAAGAACATAAGAGACACCAATGTTGGATCAGGCCAAAGGCCCATCTAGTCCAACACTCTGTCACACAGTGGCCAAAAATACCAGGTGCCATCAGGAGGTCCACCAGTGGGGCCAGGACATTAGAAGCCCTCCCACTGTTGGCCCCCCCAAGCACCAAGAAGACAGAGCATCACTTGCCCCAGAGCCCCTATCTATACCTTGTGGCTAATAGCCACTGATGGACCTCTGCTCCATATGCCTATCTAATTCCCTTTTGAAGCCGTCCATGCTTGTAGCCACCACCACTTCCTGTGACGTTACACTGACCGGCCTGTAATTTCCAGGATCTCCTCTGAAACCTTTTTTTAAGAAGATGGGCTATCTTCCAGTCCTCAGGAATGGAGGCAGATTTCAGTGACAGACAGCATATTTTTGTCAGGAGATCCACAAGTTCTTTCAGAACTCTTGGATGTATGCCGTCCGGGCCTGGTGTTCTGTCAGTTTTTAATTCATCCGTCATAGGACCTCCTCTCTCATCGCCTCAATCTGACTCAGGTCTTTCAACATCCCTCCTGAAATCGGTAGTTCTGGTACAGGGCTATTTTTGGGCAGGAACGCACAGGAACGGAGTTCCGGCTGGCTCCCAAGTTGGCCACGCCCAGCAGGAACTGATTAGCATAATAGGCCACACCCAACAGCAGAAACTCATTAGGATTGGCTACATTAGGGGTGTGTGGCCTAACATGCAAAGGAGTTCCTGTTCCAAAAAAAGCCCTGGGTTTTGACAACAAACAAGGTAAACAGAATAAGAAGCAAAAGGTGGGTGCGGCTGGATGACCACACTTCTGGTAACACGGGGATGTGGCCTAATATGCTAATGAGCTGTGCTGCCATGGGTGTGGCCTAAGATACTAATGAGATCCTGCTGTTGGGTGTGGCCTGTTATGCTAATGAGTTCCTGCTGGGCTTTTTCTACAAAAAAAGCCCTGGTTCTGGAGTGGGCAAGCACCTCTCATCTTCCACAGTGAAGACAGAGGGGAGATTGGGGAAAGAGCAAGGCACAGCTGGACGTTGCCGTGACATGTCTACGTCGCTTCTGACGTGACCTGGAAGTGACATCATCATGTCGGTGCAACACTCTGGTATTTGGGCAAAAACTCTATGGCAGAAGCCAACTTCACCACAGACCTTTCGACCAAACGCCAGAACGTTGCCCCTGCGATGATGTCACTTTTGGGACACGTTGGAAGTGATGTAGACACATGGCTGCAATGCCGGCTGGGCCTCCTTCCTGCTCCTGGCAGGTCCCCCCACCGGTTGCCAGGAGGGATGTGGCAACCCTAATCACATGATTCCAAGCATCCCTTCAACACCGGCAGGACCAGGGGTCATTCCGTAGAAAAAGAGGAGCAGGAGGCTCATTAGCATAACTCATTTGCATATGCCACACCCCCTGACATCACCGGAAGTGTGTCAGAAGGCAACACCCACCGCTCACGCTCCGCTGGACTGTTTTGGATTGCTAGCTCCTGGGGGGGAATGTGCAGCTCTGTCCTCACAGAGGAGGGAGAGCTTGTACCTGAATAAAACTTGGTCTTAAAGGAGCCACTGGACTGTTTTGGGTTTGGGGGCTCTGCAACTTACCTGGCTGCTTCTTGCTCTGACTGAGGGCTGCTGGGAGCAGTGGGTGGGGCTTGTTGCATGTGCCCACCCCCTGGCCTCTTTACTGCCGGAGCTCTGCTCCTGTGCGCTCCTGCAGGAAATGACCCCTGAGCAGGACTAAGAACATCAGAAGAGCCCTGCTGGATCAGACCAGTGAGGGTCCATCTAGTCTAGCATCTTGTCTCACACAGTGACCAAACAGTTCCTCTGGAAGGCCAACAACGACCTAGAGGCCGAGGCCTTCCCCTGATAAGAATGTCAGAAGAGCCCTGCTGGATCAGAGCAGTGGTCCATCTAGTCCAGCATCCCGCCTCACACAAGGACAAGTGGGTACTCAGCACTACCCGCTGTGGCTGTTCTGTGGTCTTCTGCCATTGCTGCCTACAGTCTGCCTTGCCACTGAACCCGGCTCACGTTACACTCATGGAATCCCAGAGTTGGAAGGGCCCTACAGGCCATCTCGTCCAACCCCTGGCTCAGTGCAGGATCAGCATAGAGCACACCCCTGACAAGCGTTTGTCCAGCCGCTGCTTAATGGACAGATACTCACTCTGCTTTCTCAGGCTCCACTGGAGGTTCCTCAATCTTCTCTGGTTCTGGTTCTGCTTCCTCCTCCCCTTCATCCTGAGAGTCACAAGAATACAGACTGGTGAGCTGGTACCACAAGAGAATACAGACTCGTTGAACTGGTATCCCGCGAGGGTGCAGAGCGATGATCCCTCTAAGCTGTGGAGTCCTGTGAGCAAAACTTCTCTACTTTGTGAGCTACTGGCATTAGAGTTGTGAGCGAGCAATTTGGCTGCTGCATAAACTAGTTGGCTCTGCAGCCATCCTTCCTGAGTTAAGACAAAAAGGTGTGAGCCGGAGGCTAAAAAAGCTGTGAGCTAGCTCACACTCACTCAGCTTAGAGGGAACACTGGTGCAGAGCAAAACCAGCACGTGTTTGGCACTCAAGGTTCAACCCAGAAATATGGGCAGAACACAGGAAGTCTTGGATCTCTCCCGGAGACGGGCACAAAGACCCTGACTCTAAGAGCCACAATGTTCCCTCTAAGCTGTGCAGTCTTGTGAGTAAAAATTCTACTTTGTGAGTTATTGGCATTAAAAGTTGTGAGCGAGCAGTCTGGCTACTGCATCAATTAGCTTGCACCGGAGCCGTCCTTCCTGAGCGAAGACAAAAATGTGTGCGCCAGAGGCTAAGGAATTGTGAGCTAGCTCGCACCAACTCAGCTTAGAGGGAACACTGGCTGGGGGGAGCGGTGGGGGGGCTCACACACAATGTCTGAATGGGCTTACAGAAGACTAGGGTTGCCAGTTTAGACCCTGCTCACTAGCGTGTTAGCTTGGAATAGAAAGGGAGTATTTTATGCAAGGAACCTTCGGTTCCTCCGTCTTCAGCCTATGGTGCCGTCCACCAACAAAGACACAGGATGTTTCCGCTGGACAGGGAGACCCGTCTTCCCCAGCCACAGACTGGAACCACCGGCCCCCAGCTTTTACTGTGAAGGGTTCTTTTCTTTGTAAATAGGGGAGGGGGCAATGTTCCCTCTCAGCTGTGGAGTCTAGTGAGCAAAAATCTACTTTGTGAGCTACTGGCATTAAAGTTGTGAGCGAGCGATTTGGCTGCTGCATCAATTAGTTTGCTCTGGAGCCACCCTTCCAGAGCCAAGACAAAAATCTGTGAGCTGGAGGCTAAAAAACTGTGAGCTAGCTCACACTAACTCAGCTTAGAGGGAGGGGGGATCTAGTATTCCCAACTTCCTCAAAATCACAGCTCCTCTCCTTCTCATTCTATCTAGCCAGAGCCCTAGGAATTCACTACGCTGAGCCAGTGTCGGGCAGTGGTTAAGAGTGCTGGACCAGTATCTGGGAGATCCGGGCCTGAATCCCCACGTGCTGCGGAAGCTTGCCGGGTGGCCTCGGGCCAGTCATACTCTCCCAGCCTAACCTACTTTACAGGGTTGTCGTGAGGATAAAAATGGAGGAGAGAATTATGTAAGCAGGTTTGGGACCCCATCAGAGAGAAAGAATTGATTGGATTTATCCCCTGCCCGTCACTACCCGGAGGAGTCTCAGAGCCTCTCACAATCTCCTTCCCCTTCCCCTCCCCACAACAGACACCCTGTGAGGTCGGTGGGGCTGAGAGAGCTCTCTCTCTCGAGGACTGCTCTTGAGAGAACAGCTCCGAGAGAACTTGTGACTGACCCAATGTCACACCAGCGACTGCATGGGGAGGCGTGGAGAATCAAACCTGGTACTCCCAGATTAGAGTCCGCGCTCCTAACCACTACACCAAACGGGTGTGATATAAATAAATAAATAATAAGTATTAAGAAATAAATCCAATTAAAAAAAAATAGAATTGCACCCCCCCTCATAGGCGCCACCTCGACCTCGAAACGTACTATCAGTTTTCTCTTGAAGATGGGAGACCCTTCAGGTGTGGGAGGCTCCACGGGGGTGGTGTCTCCCATATCCCCAAGCCCGCCCGGCGCATCGGGTGCCATGGACCGGAAATGCTCTTTCTTTCCGTCTACGCCGAAGACTTCGTCGCCTTCGGCGGGGGCTTCTTCCTTGCCGGGCTCCGCCATTTCCGCCTCCTCCCTTTCCTCCGCCATCTGCTCGACTTCCTCCGAGGGGGCTACGTCTCCGTGGACTTCGTCTTGCGTCGGGTCGGGCATGCTGGCCAGCAGTTCGGTCATGGTGATCTTCTTGGCCTCCTCTACCAGGCCCCCGCCGAAGAAAAGCAGGAAGATACCCTTGAAGACGTTGCAGAAGAAGAAGAGGATCCCCATGAAGACGGTGTAGAAGAAAGTCGCTATCCCCACGGCCATCTCCTTGAACGTCATCCTCTTGATCTTGCGGAACTGCCGGCGGACGTTGCGGTAGGTGAACATGTGGAAGAAGCTGATAACGCTTTCCACGAACTCCCCAAAGGCCGAGGAGGCCTCTGAGGGCGCCGACACTTTCTCGGCTTCTCCGCCTTCGGCCCCTTCGCCTTCCTCCTCCTCCTCTTCCTCCTCCTGCCCCTCCTCCTCCGAAATCTGCGCCGCGATCTGCATCTCAAAGATGGTGTCCTCGCAGAAGTTGATAAAGAGCTCCATCTTCTCCGACTCCCCCCCTTCGTTGACCACGTCGAAGATGAACTGCCGCTTGGACTCCTTCACCTGGGGCATCTCCCACTGGGTCTTGTTGGTCTCGCTGATCTCGAAGTAGATGCGCTCGATGCGCTTGCCGGAGCCCATGATTTCGATGCGGCCCAGGTAGGGGCGGAAGTAGTTGAGGATGCACTCTGCCAGCTCCAGGAAAGCCTTGAGGCGGTTGTCGTGAGGCATGTGCTCTGAGAGGTTGGTCAGCAGCACCGCGATGTTGAAGCCGATGTCCTTGGCGGGCTCCTGGAAGCGGTTGGCGAACTCCTCGTAGTCGATCATCTCGTTCTCGTCGGCCTCCGAGCAAGAGAGCAGGAACTGGATCTCGGAGGAGGTGTACTGCTTCTGGCTGTCCATGGCCTTCTGGAAATCCTTCTTGGAGATAAGGCCCCGCGGGTCCGTGACATAGTCCCGGAAGGCGTCCGAAGCCACAATGTCCTTCAGCTTCAAGAACATGTCAAAGAACTTGAGGATCATCTCCACGTTGCTGGAGGATTCCACCAACATGTCTACCATCTGCCGTGCAATGGTGCCGTTCACCACGTTCCCTGAGGAGACACAAGGGGGATAAAAGCAGCCACGTCAGCGATCAGAAGACGGGAAGAAAGATGTGGGACCAACGGGTCGGTGGATGTCGCACTTACTATCAATTAATTTATTTAAAACATCAATTAGACGACTTTCTTCCTTACGGAGCCCTAGACGGCTCACAATAGAAGTCAAATACATAAAACAGAGCGGATAAATCCAAAATTTAAAAACACTACTTAGGTCTCCTTTAACCAAATGCAAACTCAAATTTTTACAGCGTTAAGCCTTGGATGCATTATAGTCCTTTACATCTAATTTTTAAAATCCAATTTGCTTTGATGCAAACTCTTTCCACACTTGAAATATTTCGATGGTTCCCTCCCTGTGTGAATTTCTTGATAGGAAGTCAGGTGTTCGCTCGATCCTAAAAGAAATCAACCCTGACTGTTTCCTGGAAGGCCAGATACCGAAGCTGAAGCTCAAATACTTTGGCCGCCAAATGAGAAGGGAGCCCTCACTGGAGGAGAAGACCCTGATGCTGGGAGAGACTGAAGGTCAAAGAAGAAGGGGACGGCCAAAGATGAGATGGTCAGACAGTGTGATGGAGGCAGCGAACATGAAATTAAGCAAACTCCGGAGGACGGCGGAGGACAGGAGGGCCTGGCTGTGGGCACCATGTTGGGGACCCCTGCCCTGTGGGCCAGAGTAGAACACGGGGGGGGGGGGGGGGGGGGGAGAGCCCAC